TGGAAGATATTGGCCTGGGGAAAGACTTCATGAAGAAGACTGCTGTGGCAATTGCAACAACAAAAATAAACAAATGGGGCTTAATTAAACTGAAAAGCTTCTGTACAGCTAAGGAGTCAACAACCAAAGCAAATAGACAACCCTCACAATGAGAAAGGATATTTGCATATTTTGAATCAGACAAAAACTTGATAACTATATCTATAGAGAACTCAAATTAATACACATGAAAAAAACCAACAATCCCATATATCAATGGGCAAGAGACATGAATAGAATCTTCTCTAAAGAAGACAGACGAATGGCTAACAAACATATGAAAAAATGTTCATCATCCCTAATTATTAGAGAAATGCAAATCAAAACCACCTTGAGATACCATCTCACCCCAGAGAGAATGGCCCACATCACAAAATCTCAAAACTGCAGATGCTGGCATGGATGTGAAGAGAAGGGAACACTTTTACACTGCTGGTAAGACTGCAAACTAATACAACCTTTTTGGAAGGAAGTATGGAGAACCCTCAAAGAACTTAAGCTAGACCTCCCATTTGATCCTGCAATCCCATTCCTAGGTATCTACCCAGAAGGAAAAAAATCCTTTTATCATAAGGACACTTGCACTAGACTGTTTATCACAGCTCAATTTACAATTGCCAAAATGTGGAAACAGCCTAAATGCCCACCAACCCAGGAATGGATTAAAAAGCTGTGGTATATGTATACCATGGAACACTATGCAGCCATTAAAAAAATGGAGACTTTACAGCCTTTGTATTAACATGGATGGAAGTAGAACACATTATTCTTAGTAAAGCATCACAAGAATGGAGAAGCATGAATCCTATGTACTCAATTTTGATATGAGGACAATTAATGACAATTAATGACACGGTGGGGATAGGGGAAGGGGAGAGCAGAGAGAGGAGGGAGGGAGGAGTGGGGAAAGGAATAGAAGCAAGAGGTAAGGAGGGAGGGGGTGGGGTCTCGGTGTATGCCACACCTTTTGAGGGCAAGACAGGATTGTAAGAGGGACTTTACCTAACAAATGCAATCAGTGAAACCTGGTTTCTTAAACCCTCAATGAATCCCCAACAATAAATTAAAAAAAAAAAAAAAACTGAGAGTGATGAACTAGAAGAGAGAAATGAGGGAAACACAGATCAAGATGGCATGGATGGTGATGACATTTACTGAGATGATGAAGACAAGGACTTTGGGGAAGGAAAATTACTAAGAATTCAGTTTTAAACATGGTGAGTTTAAGATGCCATATGATTCATCCATGTATTCATCCAAGCAGATGGATATATGAGTTGAAAACCTGAGAGAGAAATCTGGGCTAAGATAGAAAACTAAAAGTCATTGGCATATAGAAGATGTTGAAAGCCATGAGAATCAGTAAGATTATCCTAGAAAGAGCAGAGTGGGTAAAGAAACCACTGTCAAAACATGAAGAACTCATCATCTGGAGTCAAGTAGAGAGGAAAACAGCAAAGCAGACTGAAATGGAGCCATATGGGAAGATAAGAAAAATATTACATGAATGTGATATCAAGAAAACAGAAAAAAAAAGTGGTTAACTATATACAGTATGAGCATTAAGACCTAGAAGAGTAAGGACAAAAAAGTGTACACTGAACTGAGTAACATGGAAGGTCACTCGTGCCCTTTGCAAGAGTGGTTTAGGTGGAATGATCTAACTGGGAGTGAATTGAGAGGAAGGATGCTTGTAGCTGAGGACTATAGACTGAGCACACATTTATCTCACCTTCTCTCACTGACAGCAAGGAAGTATAGAGTAAATAAAGCCATAATCACTGAACAGAATGATCTGGAAATAGAATCATCAGCAAATGAGATACTCCAACAAATTCCTGGAAGACTGAGAATGGATGGGAAGAATGTGAAAGAACAAAGCCATGGTCTCGTATTTACATACACACACACACAGACACATACATATGAAACAAGTAAAAGTTAATCTTTTAAGGGACCTGAAAAGGCTGGATGATAGGTATAGAAGAAGAAAGTGAGAAGTAGGACTAAAAGCTGGGGAACTGACCCAAAGTTTATCTGTGGTACAGTTATGCCAGTTAAACTGTATTGTCAACCACTTCTCTGATCCATCCTTCTAAGCAGAATATCATGGATGAGAAGTATAAGAGGGTATCCCCAGTTGAATGGCTGGATTTGACTTGCACGCTCTAACAGGAAGCTTATAGTTAAAATATAACATCTCTCTACCCAAAGCAATTATATAAGGGAAAACCTGTTGAAAAAACAGACCTAGACCTATCTAAAACACAGAAAACTTCTGCAGCTACCTAAGTAGGTTTCTGTTCTTAAATATAAATGCATGTCAAATCTAAAACAAAAACAGAAATATTTTCAGGTTTTTAAGAACTCAAAGTTCACCTTGCATGTGCCCTTACTGATTATTCATTTCAGAAAACTGAGAAAGAAACCCAAAACATAAATGGAATCCAGGAAACAGATGATCCAACCCAGGAGTGTAATGATATCAAGTTCCAGCATGAGAGCTATGTGTAAGGCCCACAGAGCAATCAAGGCTGCAGCAGGCTTGAAGGGCTTTCAGAAGATGTCTCTGGGACTTGAAGATATGGTGAAAGCACATTATTCTCTGTCAACAGGAGGGCAAAAGCAATCTGAAAGTCCAGGCAAAGCAAAAGCTGAACAAGAAAGTCACAATACGTATCATAACTATAGAGCCAACTAAAAGATGCTAAGCAACTGTCGAAATAAGAACTCATCTTGATCTTCATAATAAGAACCTTTTCCTTTAGCATAAGGATTGGCAGTAATAACGAACTCAAAAAGAAAATGTAATATTTATTGATTTGTTTTCACTTTTCAGGAGCCATATATGCAAGGCCCAGAAACATAACTATGACAATGGAAGAGAATGTTAATGCAGTCAAATTTAATAATATGAAAGAAAAGGTGTAGCTGGCTGAAGGTGGGTGGTAGAAAACAGGAGAAAGAGAGGGGAAGAAGAGTAAGTATTCTCACACAGTTGAAACCAAAAGATACTGCCTAACTTGAATGAAGAAGAAATAAGGATTTAAAGTTATAAAGATGAGTAATAGAAAAATTAAAAATAAAAATATAATTACACAAAATTAGACAAAGGAAGTAGGTGTTAATGTGAATTATAACCTCTTCTTTGATAAAAGAAAATCTATAATTATTTTGTAAAATTCATATCTTGAAAAAAGAGCTGTAAAAATATTTTATATTAATTATGAAGACAACTAACAGGTGAACAAAATCACACTGGATAAAAATGACTGAACAAAATCACACTGGATAAAAATGCCTTTAGGGATAGCTCTAGAGGTGGGGTAGAAGGAGCCCCTTGTAAGTGCTATGAAAGTTGTCAGAATCAAAATGGAGTCACTTTTGTCAAACCTTGGCAAATGGAGCCTGAAAAGTATATGAAGGAAGAATTTTCATGCATTTATGCCTGATAATAATTATCATACAAGATGGCAAAATCCACAACCTTGCACAAAGGCCACCGTAACCTTATGCAAAACACACTTCTGTGAGGACATCTGCCCAGCAATCTTTTTTTTAGAAGAACTTATTTATTTTTGGCCGGGGATGGGTTTGAACCCTCCACCTCCAGCATATGGGGCTGGCGCCCTACCCTTTTGAGCTACAGGCGCCACCCTGCCCAGCAATCTTGAACTGATACCATCCTTGTAAATTCAGAACTGAAATTATATTTCCTTAATCTAGCCAAAGAAAGCTACTTACATTCTATAGCCCACTGATGACAAAACACTGAATCACAGAATTGTAGGGCTGGAAGGAACATTAAAATTAAAAAAAGAATCCTCTCATTTTAGAAACAGAAAAACTGAGGTCCAGAACATAAGTATCTGAGCCTCATGTCTCACAGCTAGTCACTGACGGACGGGCCAAGACGCCAGCTTTTCTTACTCTCAGCCTGGCACCGTCACCACTGCACCACACTGATCTGGCAGATGCTACATTCACATTACAAATACTAAAACAAATTTCTTAACAGCAAGGACTTGTCATTTTCTTTAACCCTCATGGCTTTTTTATGTCCTCTATTGGAATCATACATCAAAGTACAGAAAAATATGACAAAATTCATATGTGCCAATGACAGTAAGTTATTTTTCTGTTCCCCTATGTAAGAATATAGAAGATCTTTTAAAAGAAATAAAAATTCAGACAAATCAGGGTTGAATAATGCACTCTTTTAAAACTTTGGAGAAGATTCTTAACTTTTTTTGATTTAAGAATGCTTTGAAAATGAAATGAAAATAATAGCTCTAGAAGAAAATACACATATAGATAAATAGATCTGATTTTCCCAACAATGAAGCAGCCTGTGGCACTTCTAAAGGCCTTGCATGAACTCCAAGTTTGAGAATCTTTGAGCTAAAAATAATAGAATTTTAATATTTGTATTCAAAACTCTACATGTGGCTGCAAAAGCAACTAAAGCTTTTAATTGTCCATCAACTTTTATTATAAAATTCTTCAACTTTTAATAAGAAAGAGGTTAACACGGTGACCACATGTGACTTACAAAATCCTTGAAGTCACAGTTCTTCCCCTTTGTTGGTCTAACTTTCCTTATTGTCTGGAGTATAATCTCCTCTTATTTCTTACTTCTTCATATGTTCCTGAACAATAGAGACAAAGGGAATGCCTCTTGCTCTTACTCTGCATCGTATTGCTAAGGACTGTGATCTTTTGATCTGAATTTAACATTTACAGTGCTCAAAGGAACAGATATACAATGAAATTAATTCAGTGTCACAATTCACCATAGGTATAACACATGTAGTATAAATCACCTCCTTTAGCTTAAAGGCTATGAGCAGTAATCAATGTCTTTTTCGATTCTATTTTTCAGGTTAACAATAAACACAGTACATTATATAAATAAAGAAGGAAAAACAACTTCCAACGAATTTTGGAAGAAACCTGCTTACCGTCCTGCACAGGAGAGAATTCTGAGTTGCTTTTCTGTCTAGGTGGTGTTAACAATACAGCTGGCTCAAAAATATGTGCTGGAAAACTGCTAGCTAGATTCACACCATCTGGGGGGCTTGGCGCCTGAGACAGTTTAACAGGCACTTCTTCCTGTTGGAATTCAACCACTTCTTCCCCTCTGAACATCAATGGCACGGAGACATTAGCATTTACAATTGGACCTTCTGTGGAAGATGAGAGGATATTAGTACTTAAGGAACAAAAAGGAACTATGGGCACATTTTGGGTATTTATCTTACACACATTTCAGTAGAGTGCAAAATCCACATGGCCCATAAAGACTTCACTTTCCAGACTATATCCTCCTTCATCAGCAACCAGGAAGAAGTTGTTATTTTCGAGAAAGGCACAGAGGGCTTCTGGGGGCCTCAAAGCTGTTAAAAGAAAGCTATGTAGGGACTACTAAAAAATCTTACCAGGTACTCTAGAATTTTTCATAATTTATTGTGGGTAGCTTTCCAATGATCATGACAAATAATAAAATGGCAAAAATAGGGCACATTAATGCACTGACCTCCATATACAAGGCTCATCACAAAACAAAGTAACTTCACAGGCCATGTACTGTCAGAGTCACATTCCATATTATTTTAAAAGGATTATAAGAGATGAGGCTCAGGAAGATGCCAGCCTGGTTTCACCTACACAAATCTTTCTGACTTTTTCCATAGGCAATAGCAAGAATTAACAATAACCTTACAATACACTCACGTCCAGTCCTTCTCACCTATATAGTAATTAAAAGCTTTCATAGTACTGAAACTTAACTCAAATAACAGTAAAGCACTGACATATTCCTTGACTCAGATATTAATAGGAAGACTCCACCAGAAGGGAGAGACTCAACCTAGACGTTGAGTTTACCTCATGCAAGTTAAATTTTGGTCAGCTACTTCTTAGAATCCAGCCTCAGAAAACAATAATAACACATAAAATGCTTTCCACACAGATACATATCAAGTCTTACTCAGAAGCGAAAAACATAAAAAAGCCTGCATGTGCTATTCAACCCATAGCACGTGATAGCACACAAGGTATAAGATTTTCAAAACACCATTACTACATATGAACAGAAGTTTGACATGTCTAAAACTCAGTATTTTTTTCTTTCTCAAACCATCTCTTCTGAATCTGGGGTGCTCTGATTAAAAGTGCCAACACTGAAGTCTCATTGCTCTTGGTGTCTAGTTCTGCTGCTTTCTGCATGTGTGACTTTGCTAAGTTATCAACATTCTTTAAGCCTCAGGTTCTTCTGAAGATAACAATACTGGGAATAATAATAATACAGGCCTCATGAGACTATTATAAGGATTAAATGAGGTAATACATGTCAGACTTAAAAGGTACCCAGCACAGAACAAGCATACAATATTAGCGGGAAAAGTAGTGGCAACTACAGTGGAGATCGCACTGTATATGTATAAATAGCCAGTAACTTCCTATCAGCTCAGGGGTGTAGGGTTTGGTTGGTAGGTCACTCTAAGGCCATTAAGTAGTTTGATGACAGTCTGGAATAATAAGACCACACTCACCTGGACTGCCCATAATTCTTCCACCTATAGCTCCCCTTTCTAATGTCTGATTTTCTTGTCTGCTGTTATTTATCACAGGACAGTTCTTAATGGAATGTGTGAGTGATATAAGTTGCTCATCTGTTGTGACCATATACTGCTGAAGTCTTGCCTAGAGAGGAAAAGAAATGAAGTAACATTATTGGCATATCACACATCAAACCATCACCCAAAGAAGCAAACTTTACAGAGGATATGAGTATATGTGTGTGTGTGTAATGTCATTATTTTAAATACTCCAGAAATCTGAGATTTTCATTCAAATTTTTAAATAATGATATTTATAATTACAAATATTCTAAAACTCCATGATAGAATGGTTAAGTAAATTATAGAATAGTAATTAATAAATATTCTGCTATAATTAAGAATTAACCTTTTTTTATTAAATTATAGCTGTGTACATTAATGCAATCATGGGATACAATGTGCTGGTTTTACACACAATCTGAAATGCTTTCATCAAACTGGTCAACATAGCCTTCACAGCATTTTCTTAGTTACTGTGTTAAGACGTTTATATTGTACACCTAGTAAATTTCACATGTACCCTTGTAAGATGCACCATAGTTAGACCTTTCAATTCACAAAATCTCTTCTTGTTGATGATTTCATGTAACTCTAAAGTTACCCAAAAAGACATAGATACACAGTGATGAAGGAAGCTCAAAGAATATTACCTAGGCATCTCAACTGATAAACATGAATTCTCTAAAGATTTATGATAATTCATATGAGATGATGTTAAAAGAAAAAAGCACAAAATGCTGTATGCAATATGATTACTTTATGTTTTATATCCATGTATAAGAGAGATAACCATATTCTATACTTGAATAGACACATATTCCCAGATTTCTCTGTGTATATAAGTATATATCTAACATACTATATATATGTTTAATATTACAAAAAGTTTTCTTTTATTTAAAAGATCACTCAAAAGTACCATACCCATAGATTTACTTTCTGTCCATAGCTGAATGTGTTAAGTGTTTGGAATTCCATTCTTTTAAAAGTCAACTATCAAGAGATTGCTCAGATGTTTAGATGAAATCATTTTTCTCCTAATCTTTTCCACATTTAAGGTGTAAGTAGGTCATCTGAAAACGTGAGGTTTGATTACAACCACATAATACACACCTTTCTTAAGACATGTATTGGTGTTACACAAATGGTTCTTAGAAGCAGAAAATATGGCAGGAGGAAAAGGACAGTTCATTGCTGAGAACTTAGAAAAAGTAAGACAAGTCAAGGATGACAGCTTATGACAAACTACTAAGAGAGTGTGTGTGTGTTTCTGTTTGTGTGTGTGTTCTTAGAGGTGTACAGACATCTGATAAAAGTCAGGTGTGGCCAGATCGGAAATGTAATACTGCTGAATGAAGTTCACTAAACACTTTTATACCACCAGCCCAAATTTTTCTAAAATTTCATTTGTATTATCTAATAGCCTTCTCAACATCTCCATTTAGAACTTAGTCAGACCTCTCAAACTTAAAATATATAAAACCAGCTACTCCTGAAGCCTTTCCCACCTCATAAACAGCTATTTCACTTTGAATAATTATTCAGACTAAAACTTTGGAATCACTCTTGACACTTTTCTAATATTCTGTTCTTGACCCATATCCAATTCATTAGCAGACTCAAAATATACTCAGAATTTGATCACTTTCCATACCCTTTCCCATGATCAAACTGCCATGTATAACTTGAACTATTCCAATAACTCCTGTATATAATACTCTGCTGTTGTGTCTGGCCATCTACTCCTGTCCTATGCTATTCCCAAATTGTATGTTGAGGTACCTCAGGATACCAGAGTAAACTCAGAGGGGCACCAGAGGACATTTTAAATTTTCAAGGGAAACAAAGATGCTCAATATCTGTCAGACATTGGTGAACTAATAGCTTGAGGCAATTCATAGTTTCAACATTAGATTGCATTTATATTCCTTTTGATAATTGTCAAATCTTTTCATGGCTGGGTTTTCAACTGTTTCTATGCTAAAAAAAAATAAAAAAGTTCTGGATGAAAATCAACAAGGAACAAGAAATAAAAATGACAATGTCCAACATGATTCCAAGCTTTGAGAAGCTGGACAGAGCTCAAAAGGCACACACATCTCATTAGTAAATAACTGGTTATTTAAGGTAAAGCATTACCTTTTCTCCAATAGCTCCTCATTGTTAAAACACAGTTGTTTGAACTTTATTTAATAAATGGAACCATAGGGGTGTCATGAGACTCTAAGGGCACTCAGACCTAAGAAAAGGCAGCAATATCTAAGTTAATCTCAACATAGTAGCCCAAAGTGATTCTCTTAAAACTCAAGTCTGATCATACCTGTTCTCTTTGGTGGTTTCCCATCTCACTCAGCGTAAAAGTGCAAGTCCTTTACTAGCACACAAAGCCTCTGCAGTCTGGTTTATCTGATCCTGTCTCCTGTTGCTCTCTCTTCTTCATACTCTACTCCCACCACTCTAGTCTCCAGGATAAGCCCACCAGCCACACTTCCACCTTAAGACCTTTTACATTTGCCTTTTCTCTGCCCAGACTGCTCTTATCTCAGCTACCTGCATGCTCGCTTGTTCCATCACCTCTTCCAGCTCCTTGCTCAAAAATGTCACTTCCTCAGACGGGCATGGGCCATCCTATTTATATTAAATCATTGCATCCTACCTCATCTTCCTCTGTCTTTTATTTGCTTTATTTTTCTTCAAAGTACATATCACCATCTAAACTTTGTTTTTTTAAGGATTTATTTAGAATGTAAGCTCCATGAGGGTAAGGGTTTCTATATTTTGTTAACTACTATATCTCCTGCACCTAGACCAGGGGAAGGCTCTCAGTAGGTGTTCAACAAAGATTTGTTTGATAAATAAGTACATTCTAAAACTGCATATCCCAGAAGAATTGGAAACATGGGTTCATACAAAAACTTGCACATCAAAGTTCACAGAATTATTCACAATAGACAAAAGGTAGAAATAACCCAAATGTTATTAATTGATAAATGGATTAATGAAATACAGTGTACCTATATAATGGAACATTATTAAGCAGTACAAGGGAATAAAGTCCTGACACATGCTACAACACTGGTGAAACTGAAAAACATTCTGCAAAGTGAAAAAGGCCAGACACAAAAGACCACATATTGCATGATTTTATTTCTATGAAATATCTACATCAGACAAATCCACAGAGACAGAAAGAGATAAGTAGCCCTTTCAAGAGCTGGGCAGAAGGGAAAATGAGTGATTCTAATGGGTACAGGATTCTTTCGGGGGTAAAGGAAGTGTCTGGATTTAGATAATGGTGCTGGTGCACAACTTGAATATACTAAAAATACAGAATTGTATACTTTAAAAGGGTAGAGTTTATGGTAAATCCATAAACTCCATATGGTATTATCAATTTTTAAAAATTACACATCTTACATATAATGTCAAATGACACAAACATACTTCATCTTGTAACTATTGCTCTAGTCTCTTCTGACTGATAAATAAAAGTAGTAATAACCATCACAAGTGAACAAAAAGATGAATAAAATAGACCATATGCTCTCAAGCAGCATGCAGTCTTAGTGACAAGTACATACATAATTATAATATAATTTGGTAAATGCAATAATACCAATATCTGGACAGTATGAGAAGTATACAAAGGAAGAATGCTTAATGTAGCATGAAAGCAATCAGTTTTCCAGAAAGAATTCTGTAAGACTCTAAGTGTTCAAAAGGAAAAGGAACAATTAGTCAAGTGGCAAAGAAAACTTATCTAAAAAATATGAAGATACTGTAAATAACTATAAATGGCATCTGATGAAACTGCAAGTGCTCTCAAAGGCTATGTTCTATGATCTGAAATTAAAAAGGGCTATCACAATACTCATTTCACATTTTGGATTAACTACTGTAATATTGGTAGTTACCAATTAAACATAGATTCTGTCTTCCCCACTAAATAATAAGTTCCTTAAAGACAGCAGATGTAGTCTATCTGCTAGTTGTAGTCCCACCTTCTGCTCTAGTGCTTCCAACATAATATGTAGTGAATGTTTGACAACAGCTACCATTGATGATAACAATGAGGCTGATAAGTAATCATTTATCACAGCACCACTCCAAACCAGAGGCAAGTGTAAGAGAATTCTGTACATGTTTAAAGATGTTTTATACTACCAAACACAGAAAAACCTGGGATCTCATTTGAGTACCTGTGTAGTAATATTCTCTTCTCTGAGAAGAAGAATTTCAGCTGTCAGAGCATCAATGAGCTCCCGATGATCACCTAATACTTGTTCCAACTGCTGCCTTGTTTCTACTTCTTTACGTAGCTGGAGCTCACTCTACAAAAAACAGCAAATAAACTTCCATCAGTAGTACTACATGTTGAACAACCAAAGCTTCTATTCAAAGCCATCAAAGAAGGAATTTACAAAGAAGCATATGTGACAATAATGATAATTCAAAAATTTGAATTAAAGGTTTACTACATTTTATTTACTACATTAAATTACTTATCTTCTTCCCTTTTTTAAATAGAATACAATGAAAAAAATGGTGTCTAGAATTAAATAACTACATTTTTGGTAAATGAAAGTATAGGAACATACACATACATATTGTTTGAATTATACATTGACCACCTCTGAAGGATACACTTGTATCCAGTAATATAATAACAGTTGAGTACAAGGAAGCAAACAAGTCAGCTAGAAGTTAGGGATGAGAGAGTTTCATTGTAAGGTACTCTGTACCTTAGAATTTCATACCACGTAACTGGATTATAAATTCAGAAATGAAGTTTATTAGAATATAATTAAAAATAAATGACTATAGGTTCAAATGGTTTAGGCTTTGTACAGCAAAAGATTAGCTAAAAAGCTATAGGCTTCTAAGCCAGTAACATTTTCTGAGAGCCAAAGCTACACTCCTGAAGGCTCACAAGTTAAGGGTAAAACAATGTTAAGTAAGATTTAGGTCTGATAGTCAACAAATCTTTCTTTTTTAAAAAATTTAATTTAATTTTACTTTTTGTGACAGTCTCACTATGTCGCCCTCAGGAGAGTGCTATGGCATCACAACTCACAGCAACCTCAAACTCTTGGGCTTAAGCAATTCTCTTGCCTCAGCGTCCCAAGTAGCTGGGACTACAGGCGCCCACCACAACGCCCAGCTATTTTCTTGTTGCAGTTGTCATTGTTGTCTGAGCTGGCCCGGGTCAGGCTCAAACCTGCCAGCCTCCGTGCCTTTCACTGGTGTCATAACCACTGTGCTACAGGCACCAAGCCAACAAATCTTTCATTTAAAAGCAATTTTAGGGCCAGGCATAGTGGCTCACACCTGTAATCCTAACACTCTGAGAGGCCGAGGCAGGTGGATTGCCTGAGCTCACAGGTTCGAGACCAGCCTGAGCCATAGCAAGACTTCATCTCTAAAAATAGCAAGGCATTGTGGCAGGCACCTGTAGTCCCAGCTACTTGAGATGCTGAGACAAGAGAATTGCTTAAGCCCAAGAACTTGAGTTGTCATGAGTTGTGACGCCACAGCACTCTACCGAGGGCAACATAGTAAAACAATGTCTCAAAAAAAAAAAAAAACCCAATAAAAAAATTAAAAAATAATAAAAGCAATTAAAGGAAGCCAGCTGCAGAGAAACTGAAACATCCAAATTAGGGTGGTAAATCTATTATTTTTTTTATTCTTTTAAATAATAAAGCTTCCTTAAACATTTTTGTCATATTTGTTTAACAGACTTAAATACATAATAAAAAACAGCTTAAATAGATTTTTTTAAAGATTAAATATATAGCTAATACTGTTGTAGTTAATACTACAACATTCTGAGGACAAATTATTTTTTGCCAAGAAATTAAAGAAACATGCCTTGATTGTTTTAAAATTATTTTCACAACAAGACACTTCTCACTTAGAGAAGAAGCCATACCTGAGTTATCAGACATACAGAGAACATGAAGAATTTTCCCACCTATCAAGTCTACACATTACAAGCAAGGCCACTCGAAACTGAACCAACATAGGAATAGGAAGTAGAGAAAAGCAATAGAATAAAGACACAGTTAATAGTTGTATTTAACCTACAATAGCCAAACAATATATTGTGCTACTGTATTAGCACAAGACATATTTTTTATACATTTACCTTACTAATTACAATTTGCTAATGCTCATATAAAAACCAAAATCACTTATCTGAGCATGTATCAACTAATGGCAAAAGGCAATTAGGAATATAAAACTTTAATGCAGATCATCTAAAATGGAGGGATTTCAAGCAAGGTTATTCAAATTTATACTTTATTTGAATACTGCAATAAATGAGGGGAAAGGAACCCCTCCCTCCCATTTCTGCCGGAAGAGAAGACTCTAAAAACCTCATGCTCTTACCTCTTTAAGATACCGAACCAGGCGGCAAAGGGAGCTCACCAGTGACAAGGTGAAGCCTGTAAGACCCTGACTGTTCTGTAGTTTTTTAACCTCCCGTCCCGTCCACCGCTCATATTCTTCCATTTCATGTTCCACTTCATGTATCATGAGTTTGAGGACATCCAGGCTGCAATTATTGCTACTTGGTAAGTCTGCAGAGGATGTGCTTTTCTTCTGCTTGGAAGGAGCACGCAAATCTGGTTTTCTTTTCACTGACAACAACAGAAGTTATTCCATTTCAAGACCAGGAAAAATGACAACTGGACAACTACCAGAAAAACCTTTTGACTGTTGTTCACAATTTATAAAAGGTTTTTTATAGAAGTTGCCACCATTTTCTCCCTAAGTTCTATGCTATTTTATAAACAGTACAGATTTACAGTATTTATACTGAATGCACTAGAAACATCTTTCTTTTTTTTTCTGTATAGTCAATGCAGTTTGATTGATTGATTGATTTTTTTATTATTGGGAATTCATTGAGGGTACAAAGAACCAGGTTACACTACTTGCATTTGTTAGGTAAAGTCCCTATTATACTTGTGACCCATCCCTAAGAGATGTGTCACACCCCATGACCCCCCATTCCCCTCCCTCCTTCCATCTCCCTGCAACCCTTTTCCTACCCACCACTGTGTACTAGATCATCAATTGTCCTCATATCAGAATTGAGTATATAGGATTCTTGCTTCTAGAGTTATGTATAACAGGAGGCATTTATTTACCATTCAACAAACTCCTACTCATATAGATCCAACTGGATGAAATTAAAGGAAAAAACCATAACATTTACTAAGAGATTAAAATAGTTGCATCAAGTTACATGTTTAATCATTTAGCTTTGTAAAACAAGGGACTGAACCTTTATTTAATAGCTGTCTTTGCTTCCTTGAGTTCAGCACTTGTCCCACAACATAACTTGAGTCTAGAGATTCAGAACGTTCTCCAGGTTGCAGCCTGGTTTGGATTCTCTTGACAACATCAGTAGCATTCAGAGCAGCTAAAAGGAAAAATATTTCCAAAAGTCTCTCAATATTCAAAAAAGTATTTCAGTTGACAGGTCCATTAGTATTTTAGCCAATTAGGCTAAGGCAGTCTAAACTCAAATAACATTCCTTAAAAAATTACCATGGTTCAAGAAAGATAACAAAGCAGGCTACTATAAAGAATGCAGAAAAAGAACAAACCTCTTTGTTGTTCAGATGGAAGAGCAGATGATGGAGTTCCTGGAGGGGTTGTTTGTGACTGTGTTGCTATTTTCTCCTGAATGTCAGTCCACAGTTTACTAATTAACTCAGAATTCTCTTCCTTTAGTTGATGGAGAAACCTATAAATTATGGGACAATAGCTATTTTAGAATTAATGGGTGCTATCATTTAAACTGTCCAACTGCTTACATGTTTGATTTAAAGGAATTTTCGATAATTCATACTCAAAGAAAAAATACTTTCTGCTTTAACTGACAAATAGGTAGGTAACAAAAATTCTATCATCTTAGCATTAGAAAGAATCGTCCCATCTGCCTCCCAGTTTCCAACCTACCTTGGCCCCTAATGTAGAAGCACTTGCCCTTTCTGCAGTTTAGTAGTATGGCCCCATCCTCCTCTGTTTCTCTGGAGTAGTGTAACTAAGCACATATGGCTCAGTCCTTTTTGGTTTCACTCTCCTATAAAAGAGCCTGAGCACAGAAAAGTCTCTGCTCATCACTGAAATAAATTTACCGAAGCAGCCTCTGGCCATGTACATCAGGGAAGAGGCAGAGAGAGTGAGGAAAGGGGCTACAGTTTAGGGCATAGTATTTGAAAGCCCTTTGGTTATAGAGCTAAACTGTATGCCATACATATCTTTATCAATGATAAAGCATTTACTTAAATCTTCAACTGCACATCTCACTTGGATTGAGATTTAAAGAAAGGTAGGGAGCCAAAAAGTAGAAACAATCCAAATGTCGATAGCTCATGAATGGATAAGTGAAATGTGGTGTAGCTACATGGTGAAGTATTATTCAGCCATAAAAAGGAATGAAGCATATATCATCATGCTACGACATGGACAAACCTTAGAAACACTATGCTAAGTGAAAGACACCAGACATAAAACACGGCACACTGTATGATCTATACATATATATGTGAAATGACCAGAATAGGCAAGTCTATAGAGACAGAAAATAGATTGCCCAGAAGTGAAGAATTTGGGAGGAAATTGGCTTGACAGCTAAAGAGGATGGGGTTTCTTTTGGGGATAATAAAGATATTCTAAAATTGATTATAGTGATGACTGTGTGACTCTGTGAATATATTAAAAACCACTGAATATTACATTTTAAATAACTGAACTGAGGGTATAAGAATTATAAATCAATAAAGCTATTTAAAAAGAAAAAGAGGAAAGGGGGAATCTTGGTGGCCACAAACTTCAACCTGAAGAAGCTGCTTTCAAGCAACCTATGGACAGCACATGAGAATGTTAGTTGCTAAAAAATGTATTTATCAAAAGGTCTCTGATGTAGGCCATTCAAAGGGGAGTAATTACCAAAGCCTCAGAATAAGACAGCACCAGCTCTAAGTCTAACCTTCAGGAAAAACCCTAAGAAGAGTTTTGTAATCAGATTTCTACAGAAGTTGGGCAAATAAACCCAAATCTGAAACTCACATGACTGTCTCTAATGTCTCTAACTCACATTACTTTTGAGAGTCAGATTTTGTGAAATGATAGTAATAAAAACAATACAGTATCATCTATGGTAGAATGAAAAATAGCACCCTCCCCCCACCAAGATACCCACAAGCTAATCCCTGGAACGTATGAATGCTACCTTATCTGACTGAAAGGTTTGTAGATGAGATTAAGTTAAGGTTCCTGATATGGGGAGATGATCCTGGATTTTCCACGTGGGCCCTAAATGCAAATCATGTGTATCTTTAGAAGAGAGAAGCAGAGGGAGATATGAAGAGGCAGAGATGTGAAGATAGAGGCACAGACTGGAGTGATATAGCCACAAGCCAAGGAATAACACCACAAGGTAGAAAAGGCAAGGAACTGATTCTCCCTTGGAGCCTCCGGAGGGAATATGATCCTACCAACATCTTCATTTCAGCCTAACCTGAAATGAAAATAATTTCAGATCCTAACCTCCAAAACTGTGAGAGAATAAATTTCTGTTGTTTTAAGCCATCAAGTTTGTGTTAATTTGTACGGCATCCCCAGAAAATATAGATTTTAGTACCTGAATATGCAGTGCTAGTGTAATTAATTCCTAAAAATGTGGGGCTGCTTCAGAATTGTATAATGGGTAAAGGTTGAAAGAATTTTTAGGTAAATGATAGAAAAATCATAGATTGTCTTAAACAGACTGTTGGCAGAAATACAAATGTTAAAGACTCTTCTAGTGAGGGCTCAGAAGAACGTGAGTAGTAGAAAAAGCCTAAATTGTCTTAGAGAATACATATATGATCACAAATAAGATTTTGAGAGAAATATGAATATTAAAGAAGCTTCTGCTAAGGGTGCAGAAAAAATAAAACATGTTATTAGAAACTGAGTACAATTCAATCCTTGTTACATATGGTGGCAGAAAACTTAGCTGAGATATGTGGAAAGAACTTTGTGAGTGATTAATTTAGATATTTAGCTGAGGAGATTTCAGAGCAACATACTTAAAGATGTAGCCTGCTTTCTTCTGGAGGTTTAGTGTAAAGTGCAAAAGGAGAAAGCAAATTGTGGGGAAAAACTATTAAGAACAAAGGAAAAAGAACTTGATGATTTGAGAAATTTTCAGCCTTTCCAGATTGCAAAAGATGAATTAAAATTTAGGAAAGCATAATTTTAGGAAAGCATACTCTAAAAAGAAGGGCAAGAATATGGCAAGGCAACCTTTTGCTAGTTCTGAAGAGATAAGGCATGTGACATGTGGATCCTCTCCATGATCTCAGGAGAAGCCAGAAATAAAGATGGATTATCCAGGAAAAATCTGTGGAGGACCTTTGATCTAACATACAGATTCCTTCCCATGACATACACAAGAAATCCACAAGAACTTTTGAGACTGCTATACCAACAGAAATATGCCAACTTGAATTGAAAGGGATAGTAAATGAAAACATTTCATCCTGTCAGGCAGGATGAAATGAAAGAAGGGTACCAGACTCTCAAAATTCTATGAACAGGACACAGCCTAATAAATCTACTCAGCTGCAAACATGGGCTATCCTTCAATGAACAGGAAAAATGACACCAAAGCCATAGCTGCAATGTAGTTCTTATAAAGGCCAGACCCACAGGTACAAAGGGCAGAGTCACTTACCCAGAGGGTGAAGACTCAGGTCACAGAGGACTACTTCCAGGCCTTGGAACCTAATAGTATTTGCCCTGTTGAATTTCGAAGTTACTTGGTACTGGTGACTCTTCCTTAATTTTTCCATTTTAAAATGAGAAAGTCAGACTCTGCCATGTTGAATCTTGTGAGTCATGTAGTCATTGCCTTGGCCTGTGGGGCCTCATGGGGACTCAGCCCTTCAGCAACACTACCCCAAGCTCAGCTCTTATTCCAGGTTGCCCTGGCAGCTGTCTAACCTACCACAGGTATGTATGTGGCACAAATGTCACCTTTGCAAAAGGCAGGTGCAGCCACTGGGTACTTCATGGTAGTCGTTGGTACAGTGGTACACTACCACCTTGGATTCTGCATACTTTCAAGTTCCTTCTTGGTAGTGTTAGGCTCTCACAACATGGGTTTTCTTTTGTTGTTTATGTTTTAATTTTTTTTTTAATGTTTCAGGTTAATTTGGGGATACAGAGAATTAGGTTTCCATGTTTTCATTTACAAGGTAGAGTCCCTCTTACAATTATGTCCTGCCCTTAAGGGGTGTACCGTATACCCTAACATTGTGCCGAGTATGTGGGCACACACCTAGCCCCTTCTACCTCTTTTTTTTTTAAAGTATTTGTACCTGAAGAGTGGACTTTCTCTTTCTGGGGATGATTTTGTCATATTTAGGCTCTCAGTTTTCCTTTTTCTTGTGTGTTCATTTTAAACTGCCCTAACTCTCTGCAAAGACTTTTGACAGGAGCACATATCTTTGCTGGAATTTGGTGTTTATTTTTTACTTGCGGGTAATTGCAAGTTAGTAATAATCTGCCTTCCAGTAATATATAAGGTCTGAGTTATGTGTTATACTATATAGTGCTTTGGAGGCTATGTAGAGTATTTCAAATTTCGCTCATCACCATTTTCTTAGGGATACCTGGAAATATCATCTTTTAAGTACTTTTTCTTTCAGATTGGAAATATAAGTAGTCTAATACAGAATTGTTTTTCTTTGGTACATTTGGGTCAAATTATGTTTTTATTTGGTTAAGGCTAGTTTTATCTTGTTATGAATAGGCAGTTTGCATTTTTTGAATACTTTATGTCTTAAATGTTACTCGTTAACTATTTGTTATGCTGTGTTGGAAGATGGATTGGTCTTGGAATCATGTGACTAAACCTTTGGATATTTACTAGGTAGATGGGTCTTTTTTTCCTTAGTTATAAAATATAACAGGTAGAACATATGATTTCTAAGGTGCCTTCTAGTTTGAAAAAATTCTATGAATCACTAAATAGATTTCTTGTAGAGATAATATTATACATTTTAAATAAGTTTCTAACTCAATCTTCAAAAGCTGCTATTGGTCATTGATTTTTCTGGGGGTCAGTGCATTTAGAGAAAAGAGCAGTGATTGTGTTTTCCCCACTTTCTTATTTCAGTAAATAAAATGAGTTGTCTGAAATGAATTCCAGATCTAAGGGACTTTACTGTATTTGGATACAGATAAATGCCTTAATTACTTCCCCTATTCCTGTATTTCAAAAGTAATATGTACAAAATATTTTGAGCTTTTAAAATGGAAGTTGTTGGCTGGGCACCCGTAGCTCAGTGGTTAGGGCGATGGCCACATACACCAGGGCTGGTGGATTCAAACCCAGCCAGGGTCTGCTAAACAGTAATGACACTACAACAAAAAAATAGCCAGCCACTGTGGCAGGCGCCTGTAGTCCCAGCTACTTGGAAGGGTGAGGCAAGAGAATTGCTTAAGCCCAAGAGTTTGAGGTAGCTGTGAGCTGTGGCGCGACAGCACTCTACAGAGGGTGACATAGTGAGAAAACACTACATATTGGAATATATGTTATACAGGCAATCTCTGGGTTACAAATAAGATAAGTTCTGTAAGTTTGTTCTTAAGTTGAATTTCCATGTAAGTTAGAACAGGTACATTTAACTGTTACCTGTAATAGCCTCCATTCAAGTGCAAATTATACATTAGTTGGATGTTTGTAACTCA